TTAAAGATATTTACAGTGTAAAACAATGATCTATAAATCCAGGTGAACTCTGCTATAATACAATAATCAGACTTACATTTACAGCAGAGTGCTGTTATTATTGGATTGTTATTTTAATGTGAATGTTAAAAGTTATAGAACTGTAATAAAATATAGATTTGCAAAATGTATTTTAATCTTTTTTATGTGAAAAAATTACATTTTCTTTAAATAATCAGTAATTTTATGATTATTTACATATACACATTGTTTTTATGTTACATGTAAATTCACAGGATATTTTTGTAATTTTATGAATATTTCCATGTGTTTAAAAATACAGAAACAATCTGTAAAATAAACGCAAAAACCCTGTAAACGTATTTGTTTTAGTGTTATTGATCGATCACAGAAGAGGCTCATTGATTACGAGCTGCTGTTGTTGTTTGCTGTATATGGGGGGGGGGGGTATTTCTGTGGATTTTGGGTATTTTTCTCAGGTCAGCGGGGGTTTATTAGCGGGGCGGAGCCTGTTGAAGGCTGCTGGGAGCTGATAACAGACACAAACACTGGAAATAAACAAACACTGCTGAGGAAGAAGAATACATCACAGACACACAGAGAGAACTGGATGTTTGAAGGTGACTTTAGGATGAAGAACAGGAGGAGGAGGGCGAGGAGGAGGTTTAATTTTTCATTTCCAGGAGATCACCAGATTTAATATGAGAGAGGAAGAGGAGGAGGAAGAGGAGGAGGAGATATGAAAATCAGTGATGGATGATTCATGTAGTCTCATCAAGAGTCAAACACAGACTGTGTCTGGATCCGTATATTTAAACTGTTGATCAATATCAGTATCAATACATTGGAGTTTATTCTTCTTCTGGTGTTTGATCACTTTTATTCCTTTCTAGTTTATTTATTCAATCTCTTTTTATTATTATTATATTTCTCTATGTAATGCACTTTCAGTTCCCTTCACTGAACATGAAACTAATTAAACTATTGATCTGTGTACATACTGTTTTTAACTGTTGATCTTTATGGGATTTAGACCAGTAGCTCAAACAAACTGGTCATACAGGAACTAGTCGGAAGCTCTGTTCACACTGTCCATTAAATCTACAATGTCATTAATCAGTGTATAAACTCTAGAGCTATGTTCTATATTCAATCAATAATCTATAATCATTAAATAGTGTATAAACTCTAGAGCTATGTTCTATATTCAATCAATAATCTATAATCATTAACAGTGTATAAACTCTATATGTTCTATATGGAGTTGATCAATAATCAATAATCAGAAGCAGTCACACACTGACTGTTTACCATCCACTGTTTAGATCTTGGTGCTTTTTAACTCTAGATTTGAACCTGATGAAGGATTTTAGTCATCGGACGTCTGGATCTTAAGTTATCAGAGAAACAAGCTGAGCTAACGTTAGCAGCAGCTCGGCTCGCAGCCCCTCCGGGACGTTCTTTGTCTGTCCAACAGCGTGGGAGAAGCAGTGATTGTTAAGGTGGAACTGCTTTATTCAGTGTGTTTAAGGTGGAACTGCTTTATTCAGTGTGTTTAGTGGTTTTAATCAGCGGGTCTGTTTGTGTTGGAGAGGAGGAGACCTCTGTGGATCATTGGGCTCCCGGTAGAAACCTCCTGAACCATGAACACTGAAGGAATCCTAACCTGGAGAAGCTGACTGCAATGACGCCAATGGTGGTGAAGACAACAACTCCCATGAACCAACACTGCTTCTCCACATCAGCTCATTGGTCATAGCAATAAAAAGATTTTTCTGTCTGTGCGTGTGTTAACATCCATTAAAGTGTGTGCGCTGTTTGTCGAGGCTTTCAGAAGATATCATATTAATATTTCACTGCACTCTCATTCTCTCTTTTCACCTCAGATGTTCACGCTCTGCTCGTCCATCCAGACCTCTCGCACTTTCACTTTTAGTGCTTCTGTTTCTGTATTTTTACCCTTCTATTTATTGGACTGTCCGAGTGCTCTGCTGTCTGCCTGCCTGCCTGCCTGCCTGCCTGCCTGCCTGTCTGTCTGTCTGTCTGTCTGTCTGTCTGTCTGACCGTCTGACTGTCTGTCTGACTGACTGACTGAGTGTCTGTCTGTCTGTCTGTCTATCTGACCGTCTGACTGTCTGTCTGACTGACTGACTGACTGTCTGACTGTCTGTCTGTCTGACCGTCTGTCTGTCTGTCTGTCTGTCTGTCTGACTGACCGACTGACTGACTGACTGTCTGACTGTCTGTCTGTCTGACCGTCTGTCTGTCTGTCTGTCTGTCTGTCTGTCTGACTGACCGACTGACTGACTGACTGACTGACTGTCTGTCTGTCTGACCGTCTGTCTGACTGTCTGCCTGTCTGTCTGTCTGACCGTCTGTCTGACTGTCTGCCTGTCAGTCTGTCTGACTGTCTGTCTGTCTGTCTGACCGTCTGTCTGTCTGTCTGTCTGACTGTCTGTCTGTCTGTCTGTCTGTCTGTCTGTCTGTCTGTCTGTCTGTCTGACTGACTGACTGTCTGTCTGTCTGTCTGACCGTCTGTCTGTCTGTCATTGATTACAATTATAAATCTTTTTCTATAGTTAGAATATGTTTGTCGGTTTGTCAGAAGTCAATAAATGAGTAATAAAGCAGCGGATTGATTAAGAAACGTTTACTCATTATCCAGTTCACCAAGCTTTCCAGTAGCTAACAATGCTAACAAAAACTAGCCCCCTGTCACCTTCAGCGGAGAGTCCGTCCTACCACAACGGTGGGGCAGCTGGTAATCTGCCTGAGAGGCAGAACCCGGGGCAGAACAGACTGTGGTCACACTAACATCACGTATGAAGCAGAATATTTGATGAGGAAGCAGCTCAGTGACTTCCTGTTTATCTGCCACCACGCTGAGTCGCCTCACTGAGCGCTAAGTCCTAAAGCCTGTATGATGGACACACTGATTTATTATTGAACACACACACTCACACTCACACATACACACAGTAACACACACACACAAACAGGCTGCTTTATAATTGATTGGAAGTAAAATGAATAAATAAAAGTGAGTTGAAGACGGATACGAGTGTTATCAGAGCGAACATCATCACGCTGAGAGTGTGTGTGTGTGTGTGTGTGTGTGTGTGTGTGACAGATACACACTGTTGATCCCAGCAGAGTGTTTGTTTCAGTCTGCTGACAGTCCCAAAGGGGCGGATGTTACAACAAAGGAACCATCAGACTGACGCACTTATCCTGGTTTCTGATCTAGAACCCTAAAACATCCTGAAGGACCCCAAGAACTTTATCAAAGAACCCAGGAACGTCTTCATAAACCTGGATAACGTGTCTCAGGAAGTAGAGCTGTTGGTTTGATCCCCCACTCCTCCTGGTCCTTGAGCAAGAAACTGAACCTCAAACTGCTCCTGATGCTGAACCACTGTGTGAATGTGAATGAGTTAGCCTCTGTTTGATGGACTTTGCCATCACTGAGTGAATGTGTGTGAAAGGGTGAATGTGGCTGTAGTGTAGAAGTGCTTCGAGTGGTCGGAAGACTAGAAAGGAAACTATACAAGTACAGGTCCATTTACCATTTTCCCCAGTAATCTCTTTACAGATCCGAAACCTCTTAAAGAACCTCATCAAAGAGCACTAGAACGTAATCAGGAACCACCAGAACCTCACCAAGGACCACTACAACCTGATTTACATGATCCAGGGGGCCTCCTGAGGAAGCACTAGAACTTGAACTCTGTCAGTGATCCGTGTTGTGTCTGAGGCACTGAGGGTTGGTGGGGGGGTTCACAGTCAGAGAGACAGACCGGTATGTGTCTGTCAGCTGCAGGATGTGTTTATGAGAACATACCAAAGACAGGTCACAACCCTGAGAGAGCGACATGTTGGAACCTGACCTGAATGTCTGCCTGTTGGCGTCAGTCTGTTGGGACATTGTTTATTATTGATGCAAGAAATGTGGTTTATAATTATTCTGATGCTCCACAAAGATATCTGTGAACATATCACTCTATTCATATATTTATTATCACTCTATTATTATGTTTATTATTACTCTATTAATATATTTATATTATTCTATTATTATTACTCTGTTAATAATATACTTTATTGTTCTTCACAGGAAATTTGTCCCCGCAGTCTGTACATGCATACATAGATACGAAGAACAGAGAAAAACACATATGTACACTGCGACATAACAACAGGAGTAAACACTTAATACAGTACATTTAGCACATTGACCACGCCCTGTCTTGTACACCAACTCACGCCTGTTAACAGGATGCTTTGTTTAAAGACGCTATGGCAGAAGGTACAAAGCTCCTGCCACAGCGAGCACGTTTACAGGCCACTGTCCTGTATCTGCGTCGCTGATCAATAAAGTCTTTATATTTAAGACTGCTTTATTATCTTTATCTGTTCTTACTGTTGTTTATTATTGGGAGTGGAAGCTATTGTAATAAAACTGATAAAAAACTATTGCACAAATTGTCTCAAATTAAAATATATGAAGAGAATTTTAAATAAGAAGAAAAGACATAAAATAAAATCTAGCAGAATCTGAATCAGTAAAGATCAATAAGTGCACCGAGGCTGTTGCACCTGTGTAATTAGCGCACTAATTGCTA